AAAAGTCAGGGCCTAGAGGTTATTCGCCATGCCAAATCCAATGGTAATATCAGTTTTCTTGCATTTTGACTTTCATGATGGGGTTCTGGAAAACCTCGATTTTGAGCTTACAGGTCTTGGGATCGTTTTTATAAAAAATTCTACGATTATTGAACTTTTTACTCAATGCACCCATCGAATACAGCACGTTGCACTCTATTCACTTATTTTGATAAAAACAAAAATTTTTTTTTGAGAGATGTCAGAGTTCCTGCAATTTAGATATTTCTACAGAATTCTATACAATTCTACGTTAGCATAGATATACTAATTATCGACCAAGTTCGATACAAGCGGAAATGTATAGAATTCTATAGAAATCTACGTTAATAGGGATATACTGTTTGTTGACCAAGTTTGTGACAAGCAGAAATGCATAGAATTCTATAAAATTCTACGTTAGTACAGGTATATTTATTATTGACCAAGACTGACACAAGCGGAAATATAGAGAATTCTACGTTTATAGAGATATATTTATTTTTGACCGTGTTTGAGAAAGAATTACGCAAGTTAGGGCTTAGTGGTTAGTGCTTTTGGGTCTGTGCGTTGTTTTGATGTAGTGGGTGACTTGTGTAGATGGCTTCATTGAATTATAGGCTAGTTTTTGTTTCGTTTGGTGAGGAAGAATGTGTGTTGTGTTTTTATTTTTCTGTTTAAAGATGCCGAAATTAAATTTCTTCCTCGGTTTCATGCATTGAGTCGGTGTCATTATTGGTATAATCGGAGTCGCGATTTCGGGTTTGGGTGCGATTCGAAGCGTCGGGTGCTGAATGTACTGGTTCTTGGTTGTTTTGGCCTGAAAAGAACAAAGAAAAAGTTTAGTAGTTCGTGAATGGTAGGTTAGTCAGATGATGTACCAGTAACATTGTAATTTCCCTTTTACTTTCATAGTCAAATGTGTCGGTTTGTACATTAACATATTTACAGTTTTTTAAATGAAATATGAACAACAGAAATAATAATGTTCTTTTGTGTCCCATTGATGATAGTTGATTCTTATAATCTTTAACCGACGCAAATGTCTGTTCGCATGCCTGAGTATTAACATTAACCATTTCCTGGCAGTTGTTGATATTCATGTTTTTCTTGCACCAGGTTCATACATGATCGTTGAAATGTAATCGATCAACGAAATATCGACATTAAAATAGAAATTGGGATGCTGTTGTCTTTTTAATAGCGCCTTCATAATCTAGAACACACTGAGATTACGTATATGTCGATGTTTATAGAAGTTTAAATCATGTAGTTGCTCACACAGCAGTTGGATTACTCACTGTTTTTAATGTAATGTGCCACGTGATGTAACGTGCCATCATCATAAATAATAAATCTTGGTAAATTTGAGGTAATATTGACGATCTAAAGCAGTGAAATGTTGAAATTTTAATATTATTTGATTGTCATTCTTTGTTTGGAAGAATGAAGAAACGTCCGTCTTAGTATATGGATCGTTTATTTGACGAAAAAATCAGTCGTTATTGGAATCGGATTCGCAAATTTCTATATAATACATATTTTATTCTGTCAACAAACGAAAACGTCGTAGAATTCTGTAGTAAAATTCATTTCTGTGCACATTTGACATTTTATGAATTTATTACTGGTTCCGATTGCTTTGGTTTACTGGCTCACTCTCATGCTCTTCATCGCCGCGCGTCCCTCCCCCCACCGCCAGCCACTCAAAAATTTACTTTAGTATACTAGGAATTCCACCTGGAATTCGCTTGAAATTCTGCAGAAACTTTCCTTTTTGTATCTACAGTTCCGAAATTATGATTTTTGTCGCAGAATATTCTGCGGTACAAAAACCACTATTATCCGTAATTCCTGCTAAATTCCTCTATAAAATTTGCAATTTCACAAAAATGGTGGCTGTAGATGTTTCGGAAAAAATATTCTCTGATATACTAAGAGTACAGTCAGACCTCGACTAACTCACATTGATTAAATTGTTAATGATCTCTTTGATGATTCCCAACCTAAATATCTCCCGAAACCCAAGACAATTACGGATTTTAGAACTTCAGAATTTCCGAAATTCAGAACTTCAAAATTCCAGAATTTCAAAGTTATACCTATCCCGAGTGCCACCGTTACACTTACACACACTTTGACAATTTCAGAACTTCAGAATTTCGGAACTTCACAGTTATACTTATACCGACTGCAACAGTTACACTTATAGAAAATTTCAGAACTTCAGAATTTTAGAATTTCGGAATTTCCGAACTTCAAACCTTCGAAATCTCCAAATATTTTAAAGTTATACTTATATCGAGCGCCACTGTTACACTTCCACACAATTTGAGAATTTCAGAATTTCAGAATTTCAGAATTTCAGAACCGCAGAAGTTCAGAATCTCTGAACTTTAGTTGCACTTATAGAAATCTTCAGAATTTCCCAACCACAGAACTTCGGACGTTCAGAATTTCAAAGTTAAACTTACACCGAGTGCAACAGTTATATTTAACTAAAAACTCAGAACTTTAGAACTTCAGCATTTCGGAATTTCAGACCTGGAGAACTTCAGAGTTTCAAACTCATACTTGTACCGAGTGCAAGCATTACACTTACCCACAGTTTGGGAATTTCAGAATTTCAGACTTTAAGAATTTCAAAGTTATGCTTATACCGAGTGGAACAGTCACACTTATACAAAATATCAGAACTTCACAAATGTCAGAATTTCAAAGTTATACTTATACCGAGTGCAACAGTTACACTTATGGAAAATTTCAGAATTTCAGAATCTCGTTTGTTGCTATCTTAGATGTAAACGATGTGGGGTGGAGTAAGTGTATGATAGAACTTAAATTTGAAAGATACCCTTCCTATAGGGCGAGAGCCATGATATTGTAAAAATTTCCTTTTTTTAAATCTGCATTAATGTCAGTAATTGCTGTCATTAGGTGATATATCTGCCTCCAGAACGGACCGTTTTGGATCCATTTCAGTCACAGCACTCATGATCCGTTTGGGTCATAAATGATAATACACATTCATCACGATACGGTCACTTGGAATAGCTTCTTTCGAATTGTTTACAGGTCTATACTTTGGTTGAAGAACTAATTTGGTAGATGAGAACACTTTGGTCTAGACTACGACCTCCGAGGGGGGCCCTAGCAATATTTCATGTATTCTCCTTTCCATCAGGGACGGTATATGACTAGCGGTTTCCCCTCGATGCCGTGGTTCTACACTAATACCGAGTGTCAGCATTACACTTACACACAGTTTGAGAATTTCAGAATTTCAAAGGTATACTGATACCGAGTGCCACCGCTACACTTACACAGAATATGAGAATTTCAGAATTTTAGACTTTCAGAATTTCAAAGTTATACTTCTACCGAGCGCCATCGTTCCATTTGCAGACAGTTTGAGAAGTTCAGAATTTCACAGTTATGCCTATACGTAGTGCCGCTGCTACAGTTCTAGACAGTTTGAGACTTTCGGAATTCCAGAATTTCAAAGTTTTACTTATATCGAGTGCCACCGTTACACTTACACAGAATATGAGAATTTCATAATTTAAAAGTTATACCGGAAAGTTATACTAATTGTTCCGGATGTTATGGTAATACCGTTATGGTTATACCGGGACCGGAGTATAAGGACATTTTTAGGCAACAAAAATTACTTAGGCAAGTAAGAAAACAAATAACAAATGCATATCAATAGAACGAAAACAAGTGTACATTCTATCATGTGCAGAACGATTATTCACCAGAACATCGAAAGACATTCCATTTCATTACATCGAAAGACATTCCATTCAATTACATCATTTTTTATCTAGTTTATATCGACGTATAAAAATATTTTTTTGTATATATAAAAGAAGAGACCTTCCTTTTAATTTCATACAGTTTTTTGTTAACCTCTGAAGAAGAATTCGAAACCGGTCAGGTTAATAAAATAAAGAAACCAATCACTCGCTGTTATTGTCTCACAACCTGTTATTGTCTTTGCCAGACAGCATTAGACAGATGGTAGAAAATGAGCCCGACGAAACTCTAGAAGACCGAAGTTACCGTGGAGTAATCAGAAGATATATCTCTGCACGTTTTCTACGAGATTACTACAAGCTAATATCAGAATACTTAGAGACATATATCGACTATATGACTGACGTCAAGCGGCTTCCATCGCGTGTACACAGATATGCGGCACCACTGTACAGTATGACAAACCTCGAGGCCGGGAAGATAAGATACCAGAGGGCTGCAAGACAGGCAGATGAAGGCAGAAACGAATCTGAAAAACGACTTATTGCGTTAATTCAGATTTCAGAAGGTATGACCACCGAAAAATGCGCAGTAATCATGAATCAAATAGAGCAATGGGCACTTGCGCAAGGTAAAACGGTTCTCGTTAAAGAATTGAAAGAGGAGATTAACCATATTATTCTCTTTCAAATGAAAAAGGAACACAATCTAATATTTACCGAGTATCGAGATAAGATGAAAAACGACCTGACGGTTGACAAACACTTCATTAAGAGGGAATGGAACACCCTTATCGCAGTAAAAGGTACACAATTACAGTATATTACTCAACTAAAAAAGCTCGAGACCAGAGCCAGGATGCATGAACCACCACCTTCGCTAAATGTAATTGATATAAAACTTCAGACGAAAATCGAAAAGAGAGACCCCGAAATGCTTGTAATTCAAAAGGATTGGGATATGTCTATCCTACAAGTAAAAACAATCATGCTGAAATGCATGATTGATGTCAAAAATCTGGAAATCAAAAAGATTGATGATCAAATCATAATGGCTAAAGCGAGACTGCCACAAGAATATCAAGGAATTCTTGACAGAATTTACACAATAAGAGAAAACATTGAAGGTAGGAATCTTGAGGCCAAGATCCATTTTTTAGAACAAAGATTAAAAGGAGCCAAAGGACGGTAGTTAAGGCTGGCGCCTGTCACTCCCATCATTCCATGTACGGTCTATTACCGCAGGCGACGAATACAGCAATATCATTGACATCATCTCAAAAAATGATATTGCGAAAAGGTCCAAAGTATGTCTACCCCAACTATGCAGAGGCACTGCGGCGATTACCAGGTGAAATAAAAGCCATGACTGACAACATAAAAAACAAGTATGAACGTCAACCGACTCATCCTAGTTTCGTTTTACCGATGATCGATATTTTTGCACAGAAAGTAGAAAGTACTATTGTAAATTATTTGGAAAAAGGCTTTGCTCAAGATCAATGCAAATATGCACAGACTGGCACATCGTTACAGCAACTTAGAGACAGACAACGTAAAAAAGAGATACTGTTTAGGCAGACAGATAAATCTATAGTACTGAACATTGATTTACCTCAAAATTATGAGAAAAAATCAGACATCTATATGGCTAGAACCGACGCCTATATGGAAATCAATGAACATCCGTTGAAAAGAATGATTGAAAGTACGAACTTGTGGCTCACTGACTTATTGAGTAAAAAACGTATATCAAAAACAGTATACGAGAAGTTGAAATCACCTCAAGACTGTGAGCTACCTCATTTATATTACAACCCGAAAGACCATAAACCAGGTGCACCATTGAGACCAATAGTAGCGCAGATAAAATCCCCTGTGGCACGTATATCACACTTTTTAGACAAAACATTGAGACCGATATTTGAACAGCATACGGCTCGTTATACATTACAGAATACAGATGCGTTTTTGAACCATCTCGAAAGGTATTCCATGACTGAACATATTATTCTGGCCATTTCTGATGTAACTGATTTGTATACGATGATCCCCCAGAAACAGTCAGTTTCCGCGGTGTGTAGACTACTAGCAGCGTGGAGAAAGTTTAAAATTGGTAACATATCAATTGATACTTTCGCAAAGTTGATTCGACATGTGTTAGACAACTCATATTTTGCATATGGAGAAAAACTCTTCAAACAAATAAAGGGAGGTGCCATGGGCAGTGCTGTAACTCAGGTATTGGCAGACGTATATATGTATGAATGGGAGAACGACTTCTTAGCACAGCAGACTGCTGAAAACCAGTTATACCTGCGTTTTAGAGACGATATTTTTATCACCTCAAGGTTGAGGCCAGAAAAACTTGAAGATAGATTAAAATTTTACAACGAAAAAGACCCACATATAAAATTAACATATGAGATAGGCAAGACTGCTAATTATCTGGATGTCACAATCTTTGTACGTTACCCGACGGCACGAACGATAGTCTATCGAAAACCAGCGGCACAACCATATGTATTACCGTATGACAGTGCACATCCAAGGCATATAAAAAAGAACATCCCATATGCTGCTTATATTCGTGCCATTCGT